TAATCTCTTCCTTTTTCATGATGTCTTCTAATCTATTTGTATTTTGACTAGTCCTTGTATGTTGTATCTTAAATCCTATTATATCAAAGTTTATTCCAAACTTCCATACATGGAGTCATAGGAGTTGTCAAATTTGCAGTATAAAGACCAATCAAGAATTCCTCAATAGAATAAAAACATTTGTAAACATCTTGAACATGTACATCATCTTTACTCATACAATTTTGTAATGCACTTTCTTTTCTTGAAATCAAGCAGAATATTTCATACACCCTTCCAGATGGAATTATGCCTTGACCTTGGTTTCTATAGCAACCATTGGTTACCATGGCTACCAGTGATGGTAGGTAGCCTGGTTCAAACATCATGAATTACTTGTAAAGAAAAATATAGGTAAAACAGTGCCATGTCACTGTAGGCTTTCATTGAAAGAATTTAATATACTGCGATTTGCCTGTACGTGGATGTCACATTGGTATGGAGAAAGCGCTATGTATTCATTCCTCCATCATCACACTACTCCTCTACGTGCACAGGTAGAATCCAGTGAAGCTAGCTGTGAGATGTATTCAAAGCAGGTGCCTGAATAGGTAGGTGAGCATTCACAGATGGAGAAATAGGTCACACTCTCATATCCCCCAAGCAACTTGACTCCCTTTCCATTTTTCCCCTTTCTCTCTCTCTCTCTCGCTCTTTTTCCCCTCTCTCTCTCTCTGTTCGGAGGCTGCTTCGTACACCAACCAAGTGTATTACACACAGCTGTATCTCGGCACTCAATCATGGATTGAGAGACCTGTGTATCTGATCAGTGCAGTAGGTATTCTTGGGCGACAACCAAAATAGTTGTCAAATACAAGGTCTGGAGATCTGAAATATTTGTCATTTTCGGCTTAACGTTTGCTAAGGGCCTCCATCAGTACAAGTACAGTTTACAACATTGTAATCCTAAAGTAGAAGATTAATATCAATTCAGAATTCTTTCTTTAAAGAAATGAAGATGAACAAATTATATCAACACATGTAATAGGAAGAGAAATATTTTCCTTTAAAAATGCAAGACATGAATTTGTAGTCTCCCTTTTGATTTGAGATTATATATGAAGTTGTAATTGTATGTTTGAACATCCTTATTACATGGTTGTACAAAAATGTTCGTCTCTATTAAGTTTAGACTTGTAATGTAAAGATTATAGTTGAGCTATCGGCACTTAGTGTATGCTACTATCTAGGACGTTGTACTACTAGGCCATTAGAAAAATAGAGGTATCAAGTTTATTTGGTTTGTAGCTTCCTTTCTGTCTGGCCACCATGATATGAAATAGTAAACCAGTAACATCAATATGTGAAGTGGTAGAGGAGTGATGGGCAGCAATTGATGATTATATGTCGTATAGGACATTGGGACAACATTTCTAGCATACAAAGCTATTAAACTGGACTCATATTGATGAAAATTGTACATCAAGTGATTTTAGATTTTTGGATCTAAGTAATGATGTACATGTACTGCATGTGAATGCTGACTATGCTGTGCAGGGGTACACACTAACTTTTGGAAAAGCAGCCCAGACTTGAGTTTTTAGAGTCTGTATACATGGGTCCTATGTCAATACAAAAAATTGAGGGGGGCGGGTCAGTCTTTAATTTTGGGCCCCCATGTGTTCTGAGGGCTTCTTATGGTCGAGCTTTGAATCCATGGAGTTGCAAGGACCATCTTGACGTGACAGACATGTGCGCTATATGGGAAGCCACTGTTATTATCATTATTTATTCAAACTAGCCTACATGTCTTCTTCGAAAGAGCGATCAGGAGACATGATCATGAATAGCATTGAACAAACAAGCAATATCATGCATGAGGAATATTTCTTTCTTGTAAATGTGAAAAGTGTAGGTGTGAATGGAAGGCCAGCTCTTCACCTAATGCAGCAGGCAGGCTCCTCTATAGTAGAGTGCAAATCAATGAAACCTTTGGCAGCACTACCTAGTGATCCAGATAATGGATATGGCTGTTTACACCTTTTAATGGCCATGTCTCCGGTTATTACACTGCTCAACTCAGCCGAGTTGTTTTCAATGACCACATTAAACCCAATCTTGAAATGGGGTAATGGTGGCAGTTTGCCATTTCGGCTGGAGCTCCACTTCGAGGAAAGATGAGACAAGTCAGATCAGCCAAGAAAATTGCTTGGAGAATGAGAAAAGTTTCATAGGACCTTTTCATACCAAAATAAGTTTGGTATAGGTATACTAAAATATTCTTTTCAAACTCTATCGCCATTGACATGGCTAATCTCGTACCATTTAGTTTATAGTGGTATGACGTGAGGCTAGGAAAGTTCTCACACTTTACTTTGCTCTTACATATAATGCTTGCCTACACCACACTTGAACATGAATGATGTTACCTACATTTCTGTGAAAGTTTAGCATGAAATATGCTCAAAGCAATGTAAAACCAAGAGTCATATATACCTCAATATTGTGTCATTGAAGGCCATTCACAAGTCAAAAATGTATTGATTATCATATGGCTATAATGTCATTATTGAAAACAATGATCATATGATAAAATCATATTATTTTTCCTTCCATTTTTCTCTTCATTTTTTAAGTTTAATCCTCAATATTATAGAAGGAGAGCTCAAGTGAGCAGACATCTTTGGACAGGACATACATGGCTAAAATACTCCCCATTGAGCGGAGTGTGTGCACTATCATGTGCAGATTAGCAACTGAATCCAATGCCAGATGTAATAAAAGTTAAAATGTAAATTGGTTTAAAAATGTAGTATTAAGCATTAAATAAATGTGGCTATCAGTATTATATGACTGAAACCATGATTACAGTATTGTACCAAGGCATTAAATTTAGAAACATCATGCCGTCAGGTAAATTATTATGTTCTTGGACTTTGTACTGCAATATCTATTGGTAAAGTTCTAACATCTCTCTGGCATCCTTATCCTCATTTTTACCTGTTACCCGGAAAGAAATTCATTCTCTCTCTCTCTCTCTCTCTCTCTCCCTCTCCCTCTCTCTCTCCCTCTCTCTCTCCCTCTCTCTCTTCATGAAATACCACCATCCTCATCCCACCATCCTCTTCCCGCCCTATTCAACCCCCTCTCTTTCAGAGAGATGGCCAAGCGCTAGCATCCATGGGAGTGTCCTCATTAGCTAAACCTGAAAAAAAATAGCCAGCTAAATTTTAGCCTGAAGTTTACGTTTGCATTGCATCAGTTGGAGATTGAACTGGAGGCCGAAACTCAGGCAGATTGAGCGCACAGTTTCAATCATTCTGTTTCCCATTCTCCAGCCATGCAGTTAAGAAGACAGAATGCCCCACACAGGTAAGTACACCCAATACATCCATGCAGCCGATCAAAAATGCACACAAACAACCGGAAATGGCTGGTCGTCATTCATGCTGGAATCAAGATTGCTGATGAAAATGGAATGTAAATTGTGGGCTACAGGTATGTTGCAAACCAGCCAAAGATTTTTAGGGCAATAAGCTTGAGCTAGAACTAGGGCTAACTGTGTCTCCATCTATCAAATAGCTCGAGATTTAAAGCTCGAGCCAAGTTCAAAACCACAAAATAGCTGGATAATATTCTAACTGGAGCTAATGAGGATGCACCTCATGAAACTCCCAGTGCTGGCATATTTGGAAGATATATCAAATGTCTGCTAGTGCAAAGACATTCATATAAATGCAGACCTCTGATTTCTATTATTCTCCATCCCACCCACAGACCTGTGTTTGAATAGTAAAATGAGTCATCATGCCCTGCAAGACAGCACAAGTTCAATTTACACAGGAGGAAGAGGGAGCTTTACTTGGGAAAGAGAAGAGAGAGAGAGAAGAAGAGAGGGATATGTAAAGGCCTATTTCATCTCTGGCTGAATGCATAATTGAGAAGACTCTATGTGTGTCTACATGTACATGTTGAGTCAGAACTAAGAAATCATTTAAATTTTAATCATGTAGAGTACCATTAGTATTTGCCAATGGCCAGCAGTAAATAGATACAATTCTGTGGGAGCTACAGACGTCTGACCTTTTCCAGATATTCATCTATGCTGCATACTAAGACCCAGATCAAACAGGGATAAAACGCAAATACATCACTCTTATAGCACAAATACAAACCTACTTGACTAAGTAGTTAAATTCAATCTATAAGTATATACAAGTATAGAGGATGCTGTATTCATTTATTTTTAATCATAGGAATTTCAGTATTTGAAATGCATACTGTAGATAAATTATATTATCTTCTAACTATTAAATCTAATAACTACATGTATCTGTCCCCTCTCTCTCCCTCTCTCTCTTTCTCTTTCCGTAAGATGTAAGATGGTGTTCACAAACCATCAGATGCAGCAATCCACACACATTGACCAAGAATGAACTTGACGGAGCCTCTCATCTATGTGAAGGCCTCTCATCGATTTAATCAGTCAACAGTGAATTGTTTTTCTTCTCTTTCTTGCTGGTTTGTAACTTCACAAAATTATTAGAGATTGGAAGGCCCTTGGACTAGGACAAGGGTTTCTGGAGTAGGCAATCAAAATTCATTTTCTAATATACATTTTGTTAATGGCACCAGCAATACATTTACATCATTATAAATCAGGTAGTTTGCTAAGCACTCAATAGTAAACCTTGAAGACAAGACCTTGTCGATATATTGGAAGCATAGTCGTTAGTAGATAGAGATAGGTTACCTTGTAGGAGTCTAAAATATATACCTTTGAGTTCATTCAATTGGTAATTTGTATTTCCTGGCTGCTAGGAATGTGAGTATTGTAGGTATAAAAGCAACCAGGGGACTTACCATGGTAAGTCCTTTCCAAGGGACGTGTTAATGAGGATAAAGACCTTGTCAAAGGATATTCTTAGTTTAAACCTGCAATTTCACGGTTACAAGATCGCTGTTCTACCAGCCATCATGCCTCCTTAGGAAACTGAATTTCAAATAAAAGGCAAACTTACCCTATTGGCAGCTATGAGGACCTTGTCTAGGAAACGTAGCCATTCAAAGATAAAGATGGGTTTCTTGGAGTCTGCAATCTGAGCTAAGGCCTCTTCATTGAGTAGAAGGCTGTGTGAGAGTTCCATGACTGGATCCTCTTCTTCTGAATCATCCCCCTCAGCTCCAGAATGTGAGGAAGAACTCTGCTTGCTACCCGTCGTGGATCTACAACCAGGTACAGGTACAGTGACAGACAGAGATAGAGACAGGCAGAGATGGAGAGAGATGGAGAGAGACAGCAAGAGGGATGGAGAGTGAGGAAGATAAAGGAAGATTTGTGATAAGAATTCAATGAATTATTTGAGATATGTGTTTGATTCATGACCCACACACAAGAAAACAGAGCCTTCTCTGTATCACCATCCTCTTCATCTGAAATGTCTATTACTCCATGGTGTGTAAAAGCCATTACATTTGTAAGACTACATCACCTGATAACATACAACCAATGTATGCATATGGACCTCTGGGGTGGGGGCTTTGTAGCAATTTTCAAATGAAAATCATTTGGTAAGCCTCCTCTTGGGTAGTCCAGTCAATGGAATGGAGGGACAACTGGAATTCTAATTGATTATTATTTTCTGAAACAGTTGGCAGTCAAAGGTAAAATTCCATGATTTCTATTCCTTTTCTATACCATGCAGTACACTGTAAGTATACCCAAAACACCTTTGCTGTATTACAATACTTGCTTACAGTGTTTCTATGGGCATCACCTTTATTTCTCAAGCGGCCTGTAGTGTAATATTTTCATCTTAGAATACTGAATCTCATATGATGTTCATATATTGTGTAAAAACAAAAAAACATTTAAAGCACTTTATCAAATCTTTCTATTTGAAGTCTGTTCTGCAGCGGTACACCAAGGCGTTCACATGCCCTAGTGATGCAATGAATTCTTTCATGTCATGATCTATTTATTTTATGAGGAAAGATTTGACCACTTTACATGAAAGAGGAATGCTGATAGTACAACCATTATCAAAAGTGTGTTTACTTTCTCTTGGTGATGGGTACAAAGAGTATTTAGTTATGGCTGTATATACCTCAGGCAGATGTCATAGCAAGTTCACATGATATCATCAATACAAAGAAAACTGATGGTAGAAAAGTTAACAAGCAGCTGCCGTAATAGGCCGGCGACTGATTTTTGCCACAAACTACACTGTTGCAGTCTTCCTACTACCTAAGCCTAGTCACTGATCATGCATGGTTACTGATCGTCATGCACATGTGGGCACATTTGTATGTACCGGTAGTCTTTTTTTCCCCCTCTTCAAAACAGTGCATAGTGTAATTATTGTAATTTGCCAAAAAAATATACATGTACAGTGTATACATCATGTACAGTATATGAATTATCTTCCATGTGTACAGTAGTTATCGTCTTAATTATGCAGTATATCTATATGCATTTTGTTTGATAACGATTCTAGCGAAAGGGAATCTGACACAATATACCTGTACAGGGACATCATGGTCACCAACTAGCGGTATTACAAATTCATATTTTAGATGACACAAGTTGTAACTTTTGAGTCCATATTAATCAAAAGTTGACTGATTCAACACCCAGTGGTATACAGGCGTTTTAAGCTGTCTTTCAAGAGCTACCTGTAGAAGGGCATTATTAAGTTGAACACAGAGTTAATATCCTTCTGGCTCTTATACACTTATCATAGACGGTATATGAAAGGTATTAGTGGGTGTATATGAATGGTACAATGTGTATTAGGTGTACTTATGAATGGTATACATGTAAGGAACATATGAATGGTATAACTACACTGTATAAGGTGTATTGGGTGTACATGTTTAATGTTTATGAATGGTACAAGGTGTATTGAATGTATATGAATGGTATTGGGTTATACGAATGATATAAGGTGTATTGGGTGTATATGAATGATATAAGGTGTATTGGGTGTACATGAATGTACAGGTGTATGGGTCTGCACATACGTTGCACCTGTATAGCACATGCTTGAGAAAGATGAGATACTTGCATTATAATAGCCTGATGTATTACTGTATATTAGCCTGCACATAATCTAATAACCTCTAAATGTCATATGAATAGCAATGAGCCAGGGTTGATGTTTCAGTGCTTGATTAGTCTCTCTTCTCATGAATCTAGACATGAGCCAGCTAGAGGCTACATGAGAAAGGGGTAGAAAGAACTAGAGGCTAATATCAAAGAGCAAAGGAGTCATCTCAGTTATTTGTTCAGATACGGCCGAGTAAACCACCGCACCGCAAAAAAGCTGTCACAGTTTTTTTTACGTGAATGTATAAAAAAGAATGGCGACTGCATGCAACAAAGGATTTGTGTGATGAGCTCTTTGTTAACTGACTGACATTATAACATACCCAAATGTGAAGCGTATTTTACCTCATCACAAAAAAACGCTAGAGGAAAAGAGTTTGTGTTAATATCATTCACAAGAAGAGAACTCAATACATAACACAGTTTAACGCATGTCTAGAATAGGAGTCGTTATGCATTAATCATTCACTTGAATTTATTAAAGGTAAAGACCAGTTATGGTCATGCGATTGCATTGTGAAAGAAACGTTGTGGAATCGATCAGAAAAGGTTGATCATCTAGCATCTAGCATCTGCAAGGTTCTGGAATCATCAAAATGATAAGAAATTTGGCCCATTCTTCGTAAAGTTACAAGCACTATACACAGAAAGATGTATATGGGACTACCCTATATCTCTCACAGACCATGAGAGAAACAAATTTACCAAATATATGAATTAGTAGGCGGTTTCCTGGCAAATTTTTTATCATCATGTATTAGTCAAAACATATTCTTTCACATGATTGGTAATGAGAGCTTCCATTTCATTTTTTGAAATTGGGGCGTTTCCAATACTGGTCTTTACCTTTAATAATAATATATTATAGGATAATTCTATAGTGCATACATGTATGTCCATCACGCAAGGTGCTCAAGGTACTCCAATATTTAATACCCCGGCTCTGTTAGGCTACCTTTTTGGTGCTCAAAGCATGGAATTCCTTCCTGGGTGGAGAGTGGCGAATGTTTTATATGTCTTGCCAAAATTCATACATGTGTACATTTCACAATACAATAAATAATCATCATCATTAAGATACCAAACAGGCAATACATACTAATTAATTTTATCTAAATTGAAGGAATTTTGAACTGTTGCCTATAAATATCTGATGGATGGAGAAGAAAAAAATCAAGTAAATAGAAATTACAGAAAATACACAGAGACCTTCACTACACGATGAAAAGATCAAGTAATACAGAGATATGAGGCTACCCTGAATAAACAAGACATATTATTATTATTATTATTATTATTATTATTATTATAATGAGAGAGACAGGAGGAGAAAGAAAGAGACAGACAGACAGACCAGAGGAAAGAGGGAGAGAAAAAGAGATAGAAGAAGAACAAGAGAGAGACTGAGACAGAAAAAAGAAGAGAAAGAGAGAGACATAAGGAGATAGAAAGAACGAAAAGGAAAGAGAGAGATATAAAGACAGAAAGAAAGAGAGAGAGAGAGAGAGAAAGAAAGAGAAAGAACGAGAAAGAGCGACAGACAAAGAGAGAGAGAGAGAGAGAGAAAGAGGGAGAGAGAAAGAGGGAGAGAGAAAGAGGGCAAACATTGCTCCATGGTCTAGTCAAGGTGTGCAAAGAATGCAATGGCTCATCTCTAGCCTGGAAGCAAGGAAACTAAATGCCATGGGAGGGAGCCACGATAATGCCTGGCATGGAGATAGTAGGTGAGGAAGGGGAAGGCTCTCATCATTTGAGCAATGGATTCCGGTCAGCCAACGGCTATTTGTGGCTCAGAACTAGGCTTTCCATGATTGCTCCAGAATGCACATTACATTATGTATGGTCCCTGTACGATATTGTCCTGAAGAAAACAGTCATCACGACAAGCAATATGTGTCATTTTAAGTCAACAGCATTGTTTTTATATATCTGCATTCTGTGTTTAAATTATACTAAGAAATGAATTGAAACAAATAACCAATATTTTAAAGGTGAACAAAAATGTTACTGTTTGGTACAATAGCAATACAAATGTAATACAGTATGTTTCATTTCATGTGATTATCATTCCAAATGAATTTGATCTAAACGTTAAAAAAACGAGATGCACATAAAGTACTTTGGACTTAGTTCTAGTAATTTCAATGGTAGACTCTTAAATGAATTGACTAGAACTATTTGCCCCTCCTCTCCCACTCCTTCTCCTTCACTGCTGTGGATGGTTAATGACTCACAGTGCCAATCAAAACATTAATTGCTGGCTTGAGCAAGCCTGATTACTCAGTACACCTTCACACAGCCACTCATAATGACCAACCAATAGCACGACTTCAGACATGTTATCCAGACACATGCAAGGTAAACATGTACTTTCCATAGTGTTCATTGCGAGGCAGGTGACAAGAAGCGCTTGATGGAGGTAAAATGTGCACTAGGATACTTTCAGGCAAAGTGTCCTGTACAACATATTGACTTTCATGTATTTATTGCAATCAAATATGAAGAATCTCTGGATATATACGACCATTGAATAGTGGTTCTTTCTTTCTGCTATTACTAACAATAACAGATAGAGAGAAACCGCCTACCGGGTATTTGGTAAATTATTATATCTATTTGGACCTGATAGATATCGCGAATGTGTTGCGTAGTCCCATATACACCTTTCTGTGTACAGTGCTTGTAACTTTACCAAGATTGGGCCAAATTTCTTATCATTTTGATGATTCCAGAACCTTGAAGTACACACCAATACTTATATGTATGTGCTATGTGATCAACCTTTTCTGATCGATTCCACAGCGTTTCTTTCACAATGCAATCGCATGACCATAACTGGTCTTTATCTTTAACACAGAGCTATTACACCCTTCTGGTTCTCAACAGCCAATTTATTTTGGGGGTATGAAAATTGATTATTGAATTCATAGGATTGAGCAACGCTGCAAGTTCCTCATTACATATATCTTGACCTTCGTCATACAGAAGGCACCGAGACTTGACATTTGATTTCTGAATTAGATTCTGTAGAAAGTGTCAAATGAGTGCTACAGAGTCACACACTACCGCAGGTGGGCTTCATAATTGTATGCACAGAATGCACTGAATAGAGCTTTGT